CAATTTGAGGGAGGGATGATATTGGCTTGACTTAGCTGGTAGCAGAAGAAGAGCAGAGGTCAGAAGAAAGATGTGGCGATTGAGAGGTGACAGGAGTTGAAGCCCAATCCCCAAAGGCCCACAGTGCCCACCAAAAAAAGGTACTAACTGTCCTTCTGGTTTAAAAGGCTTGCATAATTTGATTTCATTTCCTCTCAATTCCTATTTCTCCCCTTCACAAAAAATTCCACTCTAGTTCTTGCTGCCCCCTAAAATCTATGTTCATTCCTGACATTTTGAATCATGTTTCTCCCCTCAGCTAAAATGTCAAGGACCCTGCCCACCCAAATCTCACTCATCTTTCGAGGTTCAATTAAAATTTCACTGCCATAATCAAATCTTCCCCAACTTTCGCAGACTACGCGGAGTCATCCCTTATCACTACATCACACAGCTTAGCACATGATCACATGCTTCTCTGTTTCATCCACTTAGGTGTGTTTCCCCAAATAAACCGCTAGGTGCCCAAGGGCAGAGGCAAGCCTTTTGCTTTTCTGGTATCCCACACCCCAGAGCCCAGCCCAACCACAAGAGTGCCCATCAAACACTGAGAGGCTGAATGAAAAAGTCTGGACCTGGCGTTGCTCCAGAGCACACAGATGACACGACCGGGGCAAGGGAAGACTGATGTCACCACTGTCATCGAGGGTGCTTTTGTTTGCCTTGTGCAAAACATCAGGATGAGGAACTGAGGAACTATCTTTAGTCTGGTCTGTAGTCCATTTTTTAAAAAGACACAGACTCAGGCATTATGTCAGCCACCGGTAGCTGGAAAATGACATAAACTGGCTTACCACACACTGGCAGGTAGCAATTGGAGAAAAGATGATCCAATTTGGATAACCTCATGCAAACGGAAGCTCAGAGCAGAGCCAGCAAATGCACGGCAACCAGTAGGCAAAACAGCACCTGTTTTTAGTCTGTTTACAGTGGGTCTCAGTCACTGTGGCTCTTTAAACACAAGAACTGCCAATTCCTGAATAACTGCAGTACTTTTACTGAAATCCATTAATATTACTCTCTTTTACCACCAGGATTTGAAATGGGATGACTAAGGATTTCCCTTCTGTAGATGAAGGGACAGAAGAAATGCCACACCAGACAACAGAACCGACAGTAACAATAGCACATACTGCAAAATCTATAACCAGAACCACCAGGCTCTACAGTATTTCCATCAGGAAGAATAGTAATTGATTCCATTAAAGGAAAGCTAGAACTGCTGACTGAATCCAGATCCCTGTTAAATAGAAATTTTAGAGCTAGGAGTGAATATATTTTTATTTACTCCTAGCTCACATTTAATAAAAATGTATTCACTCCTAGCTCTAGCTTCCCTAGCAAATCTAAATCAAAACAAAGAAATGTGTATTTGGCCTTCAACCACAGCAAACATTAATCTAAGACTGTGGCTGTGTTCAGAGACGGAATGTTTACAAAAGCCCTTAGCGTTGTACCTAACACTGTACCTAATAGTAAGTGCTTAATAAATGGCATCTTCTGTCATGAGTCAGAGCTATACTTCAGCATAGAACAGAGTAGGCAGACTTTCATTTGGTGATCCCCTCTGGCTAAAATAACTTAATGATTTAAAAATTTCTGTGTACAGAATATTTTTACATATTGCTCATTCCATAAAATGTGAAGAATATGACTCAGAAATCCACAGAGGCTGAGAGAGAGCCACCACAAAAAGAGCCTTTCAGGATAAGCCTGGTCTGAAATGGGCACACTTGGTCCCCAGGCTGGCTCCTGATGCATTCCAGAAGACCCTGGAATTACTGTGGATATGGGCCTTGGGCACACAGTGAGGATAGGGAGGGTTGGGGAGAGTCACTCAAGGGCTCTGTTATTTTCCTCATTTGTAAATGAAAGGGCTGAAGTCTGTGATTCATTTATGTTTTTTTTGCTGTAGGGTTATCCTGTGCCTCATCACAGGATAGAAATAAGTGCTGTAGAATTTTAAAAAACTGTTATGGGTCCCTTCTGCTTTTACTCAGAGTTATAACAGTAAGAAAAGAGAAAAAAAATAATAGAACAGTATTTTCCATCTGTAGGTTGATCTTTATTTTTACTAAAATAACCCATTTATTATTCTCTTTTCTGTTAGCAAATTCAGTCATTTTTTTCTTCTATTTTTATTTTCAAGTTGGTACCCGCAGAAATAGAACAAAGGCAAGTAGAATAAAGTGATATATGATAAATAAGTAAAGGACATCATTTTTTAAATGGAACTAGTTTTCTGAAGGTTAACAAGACCAAAAAAGTTATCAATAAGTCAATGTTGGCAGCTATTTTGTTTTCTAACTCATAGTAGTTTCTTTTTTTTTTAAAAAAAAGACTATTGATATAGAGATTTCACATGCATTACCTAATATGATCCTCACAATAGGATCCTCAGTTCTAAAGTCATTTTTGTAAAACAAATATTATGTCATACCCATTCTGTCATTTTATTGATTCGAATTCTTAAGACTTATTTTTAAAGATGGTTGTGAGAGGATGTACATCTTCAACTATGCCTATTTAATAACTGACTTTGAAATTTTTAAGTGGAAAAATGGGAGACTTATGGCTAAACAGAATAATCAGTTGACATTTACATATATATATTTACTTAGACCATTCTCAATTCAGTGGATTCAAGAACTTATATTCTCCTATGAGTAGAGTGAGGTTTCACAGCTATTAGCTCTCACCAAAGTTCAGTATTTAAGAATCACCCAAATTAGCACTGTTTAATTGCAAGAGTATTTTTATTAAATCTTAAAGTCGTGTTTAAATCTACTTACACAGATGGAAACATTTTCATATCAGATACTTTTCCCATAGCAGCAAAATACCTCCTCTATCTGAATAAATACACTTTGGAAATTATTTATTTCAATACATTCTTAAGTTTTGCTCCACTTTTAGATTAATTTCATTAATGTTTAATATAATCATTTCTATTCTAAACTAATATAATGAATCATATGAAATATAAATGGTATAAACCTATATGTAAGCTAATCCTATATAATAAAAGCCTAATATGCTAAGTGTCCGGTCGACCGGTTGGCCATTCAACCAATCAAAGCGTAATATGCTAATGATATACTAAGGCTGCCCAACCGCTCGCTATGACGTGCACAGACCACCAGGGGGCAGACACTCAACGCAGGAGCTGCCCCTGGTGGTCAGTGCACTCCCACAGCCAGCCTCCCGCAGTCCCTCCCCTCAGCCAGCCAGCCAGTCCCGATAGGGACTGGACTAGATGACCCTGATCACCCCCAATTGTCCTCGATCACCAGCCAGGTCGAGGGACCCTACTCATGATGAATTCGTGCACCAGGCCTCTAGTGACAATATAAAGTTAAATAAGATTTAAAGATAAAAATTAAAGACTTATGCAGAATAATATAATATGACTATCAAATTAATCATTTTGTTTAGAATACTGACTGGACTCAGAAAAAGGGAAAGTTGTTCAGGCAGGGGTCAAGGTCCTGGCTGGGGAGAGCCACAGGTGTGGCCAATACAGGAAGAGTTCATTGCAGAACCGAGTTCTAAGTCTCAGGAGAGGCTTGGGAATCCAGTCTCACTGGTCCCATTAACAAGATTCCAATGCAAAGTCCCTCACAGTGGACACAAAAACATGAAATGAGTTCCCAGACTCACCAACCTAGTTTGGTAGAACTCTACTAGCAATTGTCATCTTTACTCCCAGCAAAAGCATGTGCCTATCAACAAGAGCCAAAACCTAAACTATAATTTTCAGTTACAAAATTCTGAAAACTACATTCGAAGGAAAACTGCTTCACGGAAGGGTACTAAGGGAGAGACCAGACAGAAACATAGCATAAACAAAAGGTGTGGCAACAGCTGATCTGAAAGAGACAAGAAACTGCCCTGTTCTTTGGGAACTGAAGCAAAGGCCAAGGGAGAACTGGAGACACAGAAATCTTATCGAAACCTGCACAGAGTTTAACAGTGTTCACACACCAACAACTGATTAATTTTACTCTCTTAAAACTGAAATGTTTATACTTCTAACAACAAATTGCCAGTAACATCAAGTTCACTTCACCCTCCTTGCGGCAAAAGACTAAAGGTGTGAAAATGACAGTATCAATACCTTGTTTTTAGATCATATTTTTAAAAGCACTCTTGCCTATCACTGTGGTAGAATCTGCCAGACACAACAGCTTTGTGTTAAAGGTTACTGTGCATTGTCAAACTGTATCCCAGCTCTGTGATCAGTGTGTGAAAGGGCTTTATCAGGGGAAGCAAAGGATGAACATTCTGCTTTGGAATTCAACGAGACAGAACTCCCACACCACCTTCCTTTGGGGCAGATATGAAATAGTTAGTCTTCCCATGTACTTCGTAAAAATCATCTGGTTGCCTAGCATTTGCAAGACTTCCTTTCAGTTGTAAAAACAAAACAAGTAAATGTTTTAAAATATTTCCCTTAATTATCAGAAGAAATAGTCTACATACATCCTCTCCCTTCCTCATTGTTCACAATGTCCAAGAATTGTGATCTGATCGCTGGCGTCCACTTCAACTATAAATGTTTAAGAAGAGCTGGACACCGGAATACTGATCTGGTTCTTGCCACGGGGGTGGCAACTAACACCAGAGCAGGAGCTGAGATGTAGAGCACATGGTGTGCCTAGATCATGGGAAGCAGCTGGCGTTGAGCTATCTATGTGGCACACAGAGCTATCTATGTGGCACTTCTAGTTAATAAATACCAAGTGAAGAGGCATTTGAACTAGTAAGTCAAAAATTCACTGGCCACTGTGTAAGGATGACAGTATTCGAGCAATAGAATAGTTACAGCACTAAAACAAATCATTGGCCACCATAACCTCAAGTGGTGACGACCCACTGTACTTTGAGCTCATTGTGAAACACTGCTTACTCACAGAGCTCAACGAGATTCCGAGTCCTTTCATTTCTACCTCAGGCCTTACCTGCAAGCAGGTGGACGGAGCTGAAGCACTTCTCCAGTTTACCCAGAAGTACAGTGAGAAAACAGTCTGAAGACAGAGAGGCAACATCTTGGGAGCTCTGATCGTAAACTACAACCTTCTGACTGCAATCAATGTCGACCTAAAATGCAAATGTGAGACTGTTAGGAAGGACAGTGAGAAAAACAATCCCAAAAACTGCTGGTGCTGAAGCAAATGAGTGCTTCCTGTTTTCAATTAAAAATTTGAAGAAAAAAAAAAAGATACAGTCAACTTACTGGATAAACCTAGCATATATATGGTTTAAATGCTTGTAAAAATCAGCTTTTACAGGCAACTTGATGCTATTTCTGTGTAGATGTGCTAGAAACTACTTGGTTTTAAATCCTTAACACTATAAAAGGGTAAAGCATAAAAACAAAATAAACATAACAGTCCTTGAAATAAAAACATTTAAAAATGGTTTCTATATAACAATCAGTTGTTTAATAAAATTAAAACATCAACTCACTTTGATTCCTGAAGAAAAGAAATAGCCTTATCCATCACAAAGATGATATTTTGGATCCCAGGAATAACTCCTTGAGGATAATATGCTTACGTCCTGACCAATGTTACCTTATTTTTCCATAAATCAAAAGCACTTTCTAATATAATTTTTCTGTCTTTCCAAGGCAATTGAAAAGAATGATTTCCTTTCAGTAAATTTGTAGGTAATACCAAATAATGTATTAATATCTTGTCAATACATATTCTATTACATGTTAATACATAATTACCAATAAAGTAATTATTAATAATATAATTAACTATAACTTTGTATGTGTTTAAGTTAAAAAAAAACAAACACAATTTTAACAAGTAATTAATGGAAAAACAGCCCCTGACCAAATTAAAACAAGTTAACCTCTCTGTTTAGTTTATAAGTATTCTTTAATGTGACAGTTTAGTTAATAAATTTCTTGAGGCATCATAAGGTACCAAAGTTTAAAAAGCCATCAAACTTCCTCAAATTATTTTCTCCCCTTAAAAAGGAGGCTTTGTTTAAAATTATTCCCCATTCAGTGTGTCCATTTATTCTAAAAAGGAAAAAAAGAAAGCATTTACCTTATGTTTTGCTGAATGCTGGATGAGTTCTGTAATTAACACTTTGTCCTGTTGCAACCTTCGCTTCATAAGCTTGGAACAGTTGATATTAATGGCTTCCAAAATGTGGGATGTATTGTATTCCACAAATGGCCGGCTATCAATTAGCAGCACTTTTTCCGTCCCACTTTCCAGCAGAGCCACCAAGCTCTCAGTAACAATTTGAGTCCCAATCATCTCATGGGCCATGGCAACAGTAAGTCCTCTTTTCCCACCTCCTCCTTTAATTTGCCACGATGATGTAATGGTGGTGTGCTCAAAGGCTCAGCCACTCCATTGTACTAACATGTATGAGGTCAGGCTGGTGGTAACTGGCAAAAGGAGAGTTAAACCCATTTTCAGCAAAAGCCCTCCAAGTGAATGTCTCTTTCTCTTTCCGTTGATGTGCTCTTGCAAAGGACTCCGTCCACAAAGCAGCCCCTCACATTTGATTCATAAAGAGATGACTGGAATAACCATCCCACAACAAAAGATGCTTTGGGGCAGCCAGTGCATTACGTCATTCTTTACCTTTGCTCCCTCGCTCCAACAGCTTGGCACTGGGCTGAAAAGCCTACATGAAGAGAGACAGACAGACGGAAAACAAAACAGGGTCAAAAAAAAAAGAAAGAGCGTCGGATTAGAGAGAGTATATGATTCACAATATTTACTCCATTAATCTGATTCCATACTTGATGCACTGTTTCATTTGAACAAACAAACAAAAAGGACAATTGGGTACGGCTTCAGAAAAGCATTCTAATGATAATTCAGTTTCAACTCAAAATATGAAAACACAGAGAAGACAAAACAAGACACATTCTTGAATTATAATCACCAGGGGCCTGGAACGAAATGAGTTATAGCAAGAAAATTAAAAGAGCCATATAAAGGTGCTTGAAGTTTCATTATTCCAAATGGTTATCCTCCCTTTTCTTTGCTTATTTCTTTAAAAATAACACAAAAGAACAATAACCTACCACCAGGGTAGCAATCCCCTATTTTAAGAACAAAAGTATTTTCTGGCAGCCACGTCCCTCCAGGAGCCGGCGGCCGCGGTGGGAGGCGGAGCCCGGGTGGCCACGCACCATGGGGAACAAGCAGACCATCTTCTCGCAGGAGCAGCTGGACAACTACCAGGACTGCACCTTCTTCAATGAGAAAGACATCCTGACGCTGCACGCGCGGTTCTACGAGCTGGCCCCCGACCGGTCCCCATGGACCACAGGAAGCGCCCCATCGTCCACGTGCCCATCCAGATGCCAGAGCTCCGGGGGAGCCCATTCAAGGAGCGGATCGCGGAGTCCTTCTCGGAGGACGGCGAGGGCAGGCTCACCTTCGAGGACTTCATGGACATGCTCTCGGAGCTCTGCGAGTTGGCGCCCCGCGATCTCAAGGCCAACCACGCTTTCAAGATCTACGACTTCATCTGCGAGAACCTGGAGATGACGCTGGCCCGGCTGACCAAATCGGAGCCAGAGGAGGACGAGGTGCGCGACAAGGTCATCGAGGAGGCCGACCTGGACGGCGACGGCAAGCTGGGCTACTCCGACTTCGAGGACATGATCGCCAGGCATCCAAGTTCCTCAGAACCTTCCATGTCCAGATCTGAGGACAGCCGAGGTCTCGGCCCTGACGCCCACCGTCGGTCCACCTCTGCTGTCTGCACAGTTTTGACCTCCCAGCTCCCAGGATGGGAGCTGCAGCCTCCGGGGCTGACACCTATCGACATTTCCTCGGCCCTTTCAACAAAAAATCCTTCACGGGGGAAGGGGGAGGAGGGGAAGGGGGACGGGAGGAGCAGGGCTTGCCAGGCCCCTGTGGTCCAGCCCAGGCCCCATGGACCCTCACAGGCCCTCCCTCTGCCCCCCGACCACCCCTGTGCCTGGTCCTCTCCCCTCAGAAATGCACAATCACACCCCCCCCACCCCACCCCCCGCCCCTCCGCCAGGGGAAGGCCCGGCACCTGAGGGGAGTGGGGAGAACCGACCTGTCCATGTGCTAGAAACACAATCGGGCCACCCAGGGCAAAGTGAGGAGACGACAAGATTTTTTTTTAAATATATTTTTGTTGAATTCAGAGAGAAAGGGAGAAGCTGACGAAGAGAGATACATCAACGATGAGAGAGAATTATTGATTGGCTGCCTCCTGCATGCCCCCTACTGGGGATGGAGCTCACAACCCGGGCATGTGCCCTGACCAGGAATCCAACCGTGATCTCCTGGTTCATAGGTCAATGTTCAACCAATGAGCCACACCAGCTGGCTGGGCGAGGATAAAATTTTCATGAACTATGCAATCTTTATTTTTGTGGTTGTTTTATTTTACTTTATTTCTTTATTAAAGTATTACATGAGTCTCCTTTATTCCCCAATTAACCTCTCCCCCACTACCCCCTCCCCCAAGCACAAGCCCTCATCCCCCCTACTGTCTATGTCCATTGGTTTTGCTCATATGCATGCATATGGTACAAGTCCTTTAGTTGATCCCTTACCTCCACACCCCCTGCCTTCCCTCATAGGTTGGACAGTCTGCTCCATGCTTCTATGTCTCTGGTTCTATTTTTGTTCATCAGTTTATGTTGTTCATTATATTCCACAAATGAGTGAGATCATGTGATATTTCTCTTTCTCTGACAGCTTATTTCGCTTTGCATAATACTCTCTAGTTCCATCCATGCTGTTGCAAATGGTAAGAATTCCTTTTTTTACAGCAGCGTAGAATTCCATTGTGTAGATGTACCAGTTTTCTAACCACTCGTCTGCTGATGATTCACCGACTTGTGGACAGTGCACACCCGTGAGGATGCCTCGTGGTTGGGAAGGGCGGGCACTGGGACAGGGCCCTGGGGCCTACAGTTCACATAGCTTCACACTGGGAAGGGTGGGAAGGCACGGCCGAGCCGTGGGGTTGGAGAAAGATTGCACAGCCTATGCAATCTTTCTATGCAATCTTTCTCCAACCCATCTCATCTCCCCGCCTCCCCGCCCTTCCCAGTGTGAAGCTATGTGAACTGTGGGCCCCAGGGCCCTGTCCCGGTGTCCAGCCTTCCCAACCACGAGGCATCCTCATGGGTGTGTACTGTCCACAAGGCTGTGAACTGAGAGTAAAAGGCTTCCCTGTCCAAAAAAAATTTTTTTTGATGGTTTGAGTATTACAATAATGGTAATCACAGCACACACACACACACACACACGTACATACACGAAGGGGCAAATAGCACACACTCCTTTAAATTGCCCTCAGGAAAGAGAGGAGAGGCAGGGAAATGGGAGGTTCTATAAATTCCAGTTGCCTTTTAAGAAAGAGAGATTAAAATGGCTGATATCCTTGCCATATTAACTGCTGATCTAATTGATGGGGCCTGTGATATATCCAGCTCCATCCAAGACAGTCTCAGCTACAACCCTGGCCAGTCCCCCAAACTCCCCTGGAGTTCTCTGACCCTTTATAGCCTGGTGCCTCATTCTTAAGAGAATCACTGACTCCAACCTTAGAAAATCTCACACCCTAAACCTGGGACTCTAGGACAGCAACCTACACATAACAAAGCCCTTCACACTAGACCCAACCCTGTCTTGCCAAACTCCTATAACCAACCATTTTCTATGACACTAGTTGGAGTTTTGTGTCCACAGCTTGGACCTCACTCTGACCTTCAATATTCTCAGATTCCTATCTCCCCTGGTCCATCTGTTTATATGAAATTCTCTACTCCATAAAACTAGATGTCTATGGGCATTCAACTTCTTGAGGATAAACTACTTGATGGCAGAGGTTTTGTATTACATTTCTTACCTCCACAGTGTTTTGCACTTAAGATAATTTGCAGTATTATAAGTAAAATCCTCCTTTTCCCAAAAACAATGTAAGATACTAAGTAAGCATCTGATTAACTGATTTCAGATCAGGATGGTAGGGCCCTCGAACATCACCGGGTCCCACTTCCTAATTTTAGACTTACAAATTAGAAACTGAGGCACAGAGAAGAGGTAGGAGAACACAAAGAGAAGTGGCCTGGCCATGTACATGTTACATAACTTTGGACAAATCATGTCATCTCTCTGAACCACAGTTTCCTCATCTAGAACATGTGGATGTTATACTGGCCTTGTCTCCTCGCAGTTTGTTTTTAGGACAAAATTATCTAGGTTCTCTAAATCGAGTAAGTGAAAAAGCAACTACACATTATACAGGGAAAGTAGGGGAAATGATGAACAGGGTGGTCCTGCATCTGGAATCTAAAAGACACCATTCAGCAGCTAAAAACAGAAGCTACTCCTTCCTCCCACAGTCCAGCTTCAGCCAAGCTGTGTCCTTCATATGGAGCCAGACACACAGTGAGAAGGCACCTGAGAAATCATCTCATCACCCCCACATTTTACAAATCAGCTCCGCAGTCTACATTATTTATCCAATTCTTGTCTTCATTATATTAAGGTATTTATTTTTAGTATAGCTTAATGGCAAGAGGCACAAAAGTCATCTCCATCTTCAAATGAAGAAGCCAGGGCAGAGAATTTGTCCTAGCCAGTCAACTAACGCACTTGCAAAGCACCTGCCAAGGAAATAGCACTGAACCAAATCAAGTCCTGACTGCTCAGTGACAAGTCCACAGCCACGTAAGGTCCTGTATGCAGACTGTCTGATTCCCAAAGCAGGGCTCCTACTCCTGGGTTACCCTGTTTTCCCTAAGTGCCCGTCCCATAATGACACTGAACTAAGAAAGAATGACGTGACTTGTCCATGAGGGTGCCCGGGTGGCACAGAAAGTGGAAACCTGAGAACAGGAGCAAGTGGACTCCAACAATGGCTCTGAGTCTCCAAGTCTGATTGGCTCCTCGCAATGATAAAATCCGGAGGGGACAAAGCAGTTATCTGGGTTAGCAGATCAATGGACAAAGGGAGGGAGATGACAGCAAACATGCAAAAGCTGACTTAGAAAGTTCTCATCTTTGCTTCCCTTCAGCCGAATCTCCTAAGTCCAAATCACTGAAACCAACGATAGGTTATGGCAAATAGTTTACCAGGCAGAAAACAGTCATTCTAACCCAGAGAACTGGAGTCAGTAGTTCCACATACGAAAAAGACACTTTCCTGACCAAGCAAAGCTCTGGTCAAAGTGACCCTAAGAGGAGAATGTAATCGAGGCAAAGGATGGAAGTGACATGAGGATCCCTGTCCCGAGGCCAGCTGGAGCCCTCCTGTTATGCCTTTATAACCAACATCTGATCTTCCCCAAATCGATTATGGGAGAGGCACGCATGCTGTCGTCTCCCTTCAGAAGACAACTAAATAACACTTTCCTATACATACAATAAACTTCCTATTTCTCTACAATAAAAAAGTCAACAAACTAGTACTTATCATACTAAAGACCAGTAACCTTAACCAAGGCCATGAAACAAATATTTGCAAAGTATTTCACTTTCAGAAGTAAAAGTTTTTTAAAACTTTATTTACAAAGGTTTAGAGATAGGCTAAGGCAACATTTTAGTATAACAAAATGACTATACAAATCAGGGAATAAAATGGGCAAATCCTCTTAAAAATGCCAATTTGGGTAGAGCTTA